TGTTACATCAATCTCGTATTTTCTTTTTGTTGAATGTACACTTACTTGTACGTTGTATTCTAGGACTTGTGTTTGATCTAAAGATGAATGATAGAACAGTGTAATTTACTTCTGTACGTCAATTCGGTCTCACTGTATTTCGGCTATTAAAAGTTAAAACTGCAAGCGTAATACACACAAATAACGTAACACTGTGTCGCATTTATTTAACGTAGGGCAGCTGCGCTATATCCTGGGGAAGGGCATAATTATTAATTAATAGGCATTATAGGCCAGAGGAAATTTTGCGCCCCTTCACACCTGCGCCCGGGAGACGACTGCCCCTTTGCTACGCCACTATACTCTTTTGAGTTTTATATCTTATCTGTTGAGTCAGTTTTAAGCTGATGAGTTATTCTGATTGCAAGAAATATTTGTTGGTAATCGTGTTGCTTTTCTATTTATTTATCCTAAAATTTGCATCAGAGAAATATATAAACTCATTATGAAAATTACTCATTAGATTATAGATGCTTTTGTTTATAATAATAACTTAAAAATGATTCACTAAGTATAAATCTCAAGCATATTATACTTGTTAGGATTTGTGTTTGAGTTTTACTGAATGTGTGTACAACTGTGTTGGAGACTGAATATATATACAATTCTGTTGAAGAGTGAATGTACCTACAACTATATTGTAGACTGAATATATATACAATTCTGTTGAAGAGTGAATGTACCTACAACTATGTTGTAGACTGAATGTATATTCAACTGTGTTGTAGACTGAATGTATATACATCTGTGTTGTAGACTGAATGTATATACAACTATGTTGTAGACTGAATGTATATACAACTGTGTTGGAGACTGTATGTATATACATCTGTGTTGTAGACTGAATGTACCTACAACTATGTTGTAGACTGAATGTACCTACAACTATGTTGTAGACTGAATGTATATACAACTGTGTTGGAGACTGTATGTATATACATCTGTGTTGTAGACTGTATGTATATACATCTGTGTTGTAGACTGAATGTACCTACAACTATGTTGTAGACTGAATGTATATTCAACTGTGTTGTAGACTGAATGTATATACATCTGTGTTGTAGACTGAATGTATATACAACTGTGTTGTAGACTGAATGTATATACATCTGTGTTGTAGACTGTATGTATATACATCTGTGATGTAGACTGAATGTATATACAACTGTGTTGTAGACTTCAAAAGTATGAAGAATATAATTTGTTTGAGAAGGAAGCCCTACAGATATTGTAATATCAAGTTTAAATTTTTAGTATAAATCCTGAAGGCGTCTCCTACATAATTTTATCTTTTTGTCGTTAAATATAACGCTATACATCGAATGGGCTATCTGCCCATTGCAGGTATCGAAACCCGCTTTATAAACGCTCTAGCTTCCTGAGACTCCGGGGTGTACATATAAGGTTGAAAAACTTCTGTTGTCCAGTTTATGTTAAAGCAGGATGTTTACGTAGAAGTATGGTGTTTTACTATTTATAATGAATTACAAACATTTTCGATTTCATAAACAAAACTGTATGTGAGAGTAGGTAGGTAAACTTTAGGACCATAATGTTCTTTATATAAATCTACTTACCCCTAATACTAAACCCAGTTCAAGCAGTTTGAAGAGAATCGAATAGCTGTTTGTCCATCCCATTGCCTTTCTAAAGCCACTGACGTTTTTAAGACGTGACACGTATCTGAAATAGTTGTTATATAATATATATTTCACAAAATATGTTACAACAAATTATCTTAATTACGTTTATCTAAATACAATATAAGAAATAACCAAAGTAAAATTTAAAATATGTTTCATGAGTTTTCAAAATACCATGTTCAGATTTTTTTTTTTTTTTTGGTAAACGATAATTCATCCTAACATTATTCTGCTAGACAATCTTTACTATGAATTATTAACCAAGTGTTGCTTCTCGTAAGACTGAGCTGCATTAACACGATTTACATATGGGTCTTATTTAAACTTGTTTGTCGGCTTATTAACAAAAAAGTGAAACATTTTGATCTGATATCAAAATTAATGCATTGAACTTCGAATTTCTGACAAAAAATATTACAAAAATACTTGATTATAGACGTAATGCGAAAGATGTTACAAAATGTTTTCGTTTGTGATTTTTTCTAAATTTTATTAGCCTTAAATCGAAAACTGTTGCTACGTTTGCTATATTATTCTACATTTCCACGATAAAAAGGATTTTTTTTTTATTAATTATCTTTTGAAAGAGTGATATTCATTGATCTTCTCCCTTCATAGCATAAAATGGTACGCGAGGAATTGAATAGATGTAAACAAGTCATTAAAAATATAGAAATATGGTTTAAGAATCGTATAATTAAGAGCAGTATTTCTTATTAGCAAATATCAATTACAAATAATGCTAAAAAGAAATTCACCTCATTGAACAAAACAAGTTCAGAAAAAAAAAAAGGTTTTCTTTCCTATTCGCATTTTAATAGTAATTTGTGGCCAACAATTGATTGCATTAGTAGGTCAATATCTGTTCGCTGCTAGCGTCGTATGTTACGTGTTTCCACAACAGTGGTATAGAACACAACTTAAAATGGAAACTTCGAACAATGTAAACATAAATCTCGAACATTGTACTTCAATACTGATACAACTTCCTCGTGCTCTTGGCAAAGGAAAATGTTCTACTGCAACATGACAATAGCAGATCTCATATTGTTCAACGTGTAACGAGTGTAATTACAAATTCGGATAGATAGCCCCTCTCATCTCTCATTTAGTTCTCCCCTAATCCCCTGTAGCTTTTAGCTTTGTAGTTCTTTCAAATAAAACACTTCTAAGCAAATGCTGATTTTTAAACAGCTATACGCTATTTGATTAGTAAATATTGTATCTGCATTTGACTTAAATAGTACGTTTAAGCTTACAAGATGACACACGGAATGTAACGGTTGTCTAGAGACACAAACAGGATTGGTTCACATTGGTAAGATAAGGCAGACCTATAAAACATAAATTCCTGTTTTTTACTGTAGATTTTAACAGTTGTGTAGTATACAGTATTTTACAGTGTTAGTTTTATTATAAATTCGATACCTTTTTCAGGAAATTCTATGATTCATAAAATTGGTTCACAAACAACAATTTGTTTGTTGAAGTTATGACGTCAACAACTTTTCTCGCTATAATTTCATTATAATAAAGCTGTAATGAGACAACTTTATGATAGCATGTTGAAAATAATTTGATGGCGCTTCACTCAACAATCTAGAAACCGGGTTTCGATACCCGTGGTGGACAGAGCACAGATAGCCCATTGTGTAGTTCTGTGTATAAATTCAAACAAACAATCACTCAACAAACCTGATCTTTAAGATTCTGTTCATGCTATATCTATCAGCCATTAAGATGAACGATTAAAGAATTAAAATCTAAACATACTTAATAAATTAACATTCAGAAAAATTACTCATTAATCCAACCATATTTTTTATTAACTGTTTACATTTCGAGGACATTGCCTTATTCTTGAATATGCTGAATTTGACGATTATGAGCTTTGTAACTTATATTATCCCTATTATAATTTTAATGCCGAAATGCGCTAAATTTAAACGTAAATTGTTGCGCAAGTTATGTCTGCTACATTAATAAATGCTACAACGAAAAGTATTAGTAATTTTGCAAAATTAAGTTCCCAAAACATCTATTTTTTTTCGTAATTGATAGCGTTTAATGTGTAAACACTTCACATAAAAAGATAGTCGCTATTAATGCATAACACATCATAGATTTTGGTTAAAAACCGTCATTCTGGTATTCAGTTAAACGTGTTAAACTTATCCTGAGAGAAGTTTTAAACAAATGGTTTTAAAATTAGCCTAGTTGAAAGTAAATTGAAATAGGTTTCATTGTTTTCAGTGAAAGTAACTAATTAGAAACATATTTAACAGCATATTTTCCTCCAATTATAATATTAGGTTAGCTTCTGCTAGACATGCGTATATAATGCAATACTTAATTCACATTTTTATTTGCTTCCGATCAGATATAAAACACAATTAGAACTATTAAATATACACATCCAAAACTGTTAGAATTTCAGGTTATAAAATATATTAAGTGAGGTTATAAAAACGCCTGTAAGTATATTGAAAACAAGCATAATATAGATAGAAGCCCTTTGTCGATAACAAACATAAATCATCAGAGAACATGTTGAGATAACCTTGTTTGAAAGACATATTTAGTAGGAAGATAACTGCTAGAAGTTTTTGGTACATACAACCTGACTTGTGATTTTTCTCTTAAGCAATTGTTTGACGCACTTTCATGTATCTTCGTCAGATTTGTAGTTTTACGTTTATCAAGATTGGTGTACATGTAGCGCAGCTTTTGGATATATTAATATGGTAATTGATTAGCTTCTGCTTTTGGTATCCAGAGTTGTTGATCTCTAATCCTAAGTTTCTTTTGAGAGCTGTGTTTTCATTTCTAATGTAGATAGATTGGTTAATCTTCATGTGATTGTTTTCCAGTTATTTCTGCGCCAGTAATTCTACAATTTTTCCAATCTATTTTATGTTTCGTTTTAATAACATATTCGGCATTAACTGATGCGTTGGTTTTATTAGTGGAACAGCACATTTATATTCTTTATGCGTTGTTCTAGAACTATTTTAGTTTATTTTATGTATGAAGCTCCACAAGAATACGAAGTAACCCCTTTGTTTCTCAGATGAGCAGGTTGCATAATATGAATTAAAATCGTTCGTAAATTATTACTTGGTTGAAAATGAATTTGAGCCTGATAAATTTTACATATGTTTTATGTATAACGGCTTAATTTTGGAATAAACGGAATGGTGATTCTGGCTTATGGCTCAGCTCCTGTTTGTTTGGAGGTATACATTGTTATTTATGCTTGTTTGATAACGTGTGCTGGATAATCTTTGATTTTGACGATGGTTTCAATACGTATTAATTTATCTGTAAATGAAGCTTTATCTTAAAACATATTGTTGTGTTGTAGATACAGACATCTATTCAAAATTTCTTGTTCCTATGTTGTCTTTTCTTAAAATGTAAAGGTCCTATCATACAAACAAAACAAATAACTAAATCGTCAGAGATTTAGAACTTTCTATACGAACACAGAATGATATATATGTTAGTTAGCTTTTTGATATTCACTATATATTCAATAACATATCAGTAGAAGAAACTCTTGTCATCGCCCACGAAAATTACAACTGGATGAAACACAGAGATTTCCCAGCAAGTTATCTATTGACACAAGTTTGAAGCTAACTACTATCTGCACCAACAACACTTACTTTCAGCTAAAAGATCAATTTTACTGGTGTTTTGTACATTAAAAGATTGGTTACGACTGGTGCAGTGTTTAGAGCTTTTATATGCCGAGGCGAGAAATGGCTTTACTTGTGATGTTGGTAATACGCTTGATCCATGTTTGTTGGAGTGGTGAATAATGGTGATGCCTAAAACTTCTGATGGTTTAGAAATGTTTATTATGTCGTTATAGCTATTAGTTTGAAATTAGTTTATATATATATGCGTCTTCTGGCTAATATTATACTGAAAGTTATGAACTGTGTTTTCTGAGGACTTAGTATTACTTTCTATTTGGAGCATCAAGCCTCTATTTGATTTAGTTGTTATTATAGGAGTCAGACTACTAGTAGAGAGCTTCTTGATGAACACCATAATGTTATATCATCCGCAAACTGAGAGGTTTATATATATGAATGAACTTTACTTATCCCATGATTTAGGGAGAATACCGACAATGTTCTATTTTACCATACTTCTTGTGAAAAAAGGGATACAGGAATAGGAATTTTCTTTTAAAATTCTGAAATATAGAAGGTAATTTTGTTTTCTTTACAGATTTAGTCCATCTTTAATTTTTGTCTATTCTGGATAAGAGACGTTTCCTATGTTCACTTCGGAAATGGTATGTTATGCGTTATTAAAGTCACAATGTTAAATTCTAGGTTTCACACTATCGTTCGCTTTAAAATAAGTACTTTACGTATAAGATTTAAAGAAACGACCTGATGACAAAGAAAAAAGGCATTCTAGCCAACGAGCAAAAAGGGTCCTTTGGATTGCCTTTTATTTTCATCAATAGTGTATTGAGAAAGTTCAAAATGTATCCTAAATACAATTTTTACGTTATGGAGTTTATAACTTGTATCTTATTTCATCGTGCCTAACTGAGCCAAAAGCTTTCTGAACGTGAAGGAAAACAGTAACAATTAATATTAATGTTTTTAGTGTTGTCTTGGGGAGTGGAATAAGATAATCAATTATTTGCCTGTTGTTGTTGTTTCCCTGAAAGTTCTCTAAGTACACAATTCATTTTCAAAAATATGAGAAACCTTTGAGTACTTATTATTTTCAATAGTTAACCGTATTGTGTTGGTTAGACTTACTGGTCTGTAGGCTTTTGAATATTGTGAAGACTTGTCAGGTTTTTATATCATGAGTACTGAACAGTGTTTTCTAAGTTATTGGGATATTATCATAACATAGGATGAGAGTGAAGATTCTGGCTAAATGTTGAAATAAAAAGTTTTTTGTTTCTGTTTTAAATATATGTTATGGATTTTGTCTTCCTCTAGAGATTTATTTTTCAGTAATTTTTTCGAGTTCAATACGTCAGGGGTGGGTATTTAATATTGT